AAGTCAGGCACCACTCAGGAGAATTCGGAAATGCAACGATTGTGTGAAGTTAGGATACTCTGGAAGCATTTCTTGCGTAATATTCAATTTTATTTAATGTCCTTTGGACAGAGAGGGAGATAGAGCTCTCTCTGCCTTAACCATCCAAACATTTATACTCTCCTAAAAATCCCAGTACTCTCTCTCCCATGAAACTAAACCCACCCCTCTCACACTTGAACATCCGGTTATTCCCAAGAAAAACACTTCCGTTCATCAAGGAATAATTTTAGCCACGGCGTGAAGGAGGCTGTGATAACTCATTATCCGTCATGACATTTCCTTCACCTTTGTCCAGAGTAGGGAGGCATCTGCTTTCTATCCCCTTAAACAGTACAGCATAGCGAATGATACAGGATTAATCCATTATTACTCCTATTCAAACAGGCAAACTCAAAAAATCGGAAAAAAATGATGCCACAGATGGAACGGCCGCTTCCCTATGACTTTAAAGAAAAACTCAGACCCATTTCAGAGCCATATCTTTACCCACATTTAATAGAGAAATGCGTCCAGTGCGCTGGACATAAATAAACTACCTGAATGCTATGCTAATAAACTGCTAACCTGGATCATTGGCACAAAGCTCTTTATCCCAACTCCCTACAGAGGCTCATAGAGTCACGTTAAGAGACCACAGCGACACTGATCATAAATCAGATGCAGTATATCGGTTAAATCTGAAGAGGGCGCCATAGAAACGCTTTTGGACAAAAAATAAGAAGAACCAGAGACAGTGGAGCAAGTTGTCCGAATAAAGCCTAGGACATGCAGACATCTATCCATACAGCTTTAGACTCTCCGAAGCCGTTCAGATGTTCCACATCACCGGCTGTGGTTATAAATTTGTAGTCTCATCCAGAGTAAATACGACTGAGCTTTTAAATCAGGGGAAATGAGGACATCAGTATATGACATTAACAGCTTCCTCTATTAGAAGTGTTGTTAGGAAAGAGACGATAAGTTGATGAAAGGATCGAAATGACTGATGTTGGTCACCTGCTCTGCAGCTCCTTCATAGCGGGGCTCAGGTAGCTGGCCGTCACCATGTTCACCTTCCTTCTGATGCAGTGTTTGGCGATCAGGGGATGGAAGGAGTACGGCAGCATGCTGCAAAACAGATAAAAGGAGGTTTTCATTTCAATTAAGGTTTTGTCAGGCAGAGGAAAAAACAAATATGGCTAATAAGCACAGAAAACAAAGAGGGAGCTGCTAACTATCCTCTGTATACAATGTTCCAGCGTGAGAACGGGAACGCTACCTAATGACCAGATCATGATCTTGGACCAGGGAGTCCAGGTGTCCCTCCTGGCTGCTGGCGTCCAGCATGATGGGGATGGTGTTGGGATACTTGGCCGCCAGCTCCTCCGCCTGTTTCAGAACCACAGAGGCTAAAGAGACAGAAGAGAAGGCCTCAGTCAGAGGCGTGTGCTACCGCGGCGCCAACGATGATGTCACTGCTCATCACCGTTACCAGCAGACAATACAGCAGCAGAAGAGACGATCGATTAAGAGTCTGCTTGTTTAAATTAACAGTCAATTTAATCAGTAAAACAGACCAAGTCTGGTCAGATTCAGTAAAGAAAATATAACCGTGATAACATCAGAAAACTGATCTCAGAGGGTGTAATGTTCCAGACGGTAACTGGAGCATCCTACAGTCAGACCGCCGGAGCAACGACGCTCCGACTAGGACTGAAACCTTAAAGCTGATCACACGTGACTCGCCTTACTCACCAACTGTGACCTGAGTCTTCTCATCTCGGGTCAGATACTCAACAACCGGCCCAGAGACGTACCCTGAACCCAGCAGCAGGACTTTCTTCATCCCTGTTTTCTTCAGGATCTGAGCTTTTTCCCTGAACATCACACCGACACACAGAGACACAAAAAATGCTTTCAAACTCCACTAGTAGGGAAAAGGTGCAGAGAAGAACAAGCATGAAATGAAATGTTCCAATAATGACCTAAAACAAAAAGTCACATTTTTTGGCATTTTAACTAGAAAATGATCATTGGTGAGAAACAGGGTTTCAGTCTTGGAATCAATGCCTCTTGGTCAGACCTCTGATTTATCTTTAGAGATGGCTGGAAAATGGCAAAAAAATTCAATAATCTGAAAACATCTTCGCAAAGAGACATTTCTGCCTTCAATCCTAAAGAAAACTATAATTAAAGGAAAAGTTCGGTCACATTCAGAATTCAAACTTCTGAAATTACTTTATACACTGCCTGGCCAAAAAATAAAGTCGCCACCTGGATTCAACTAAGCAAATAGGTAGGAGCCTCCTATTGGATAATTACTGCATGGGCGATTATCTTTCAGCTGGCAACAAGTTCTTTAACCCCAACTGGTGCAATGACTTGCTTCTCATTTCCTAAACAACCATGTAGAAAGACACATCCCGTGGTCGTGGAAAAGATGTTAGTCTGTTTGAGAAGGGTCAAATCATTGGTATGCATCAAGCAGAGAAAACATCTAAAGTGATGCAGAAACTACTAAAATTGGGTTAAGAACTGTCCAACGCATTATTAAAAACTGGAAGGATAGTGGGGACCAATCATCTTCAAGGAAGAAATGGGACCGGAAAACAAATCCTGAATGATGGTGATCGGCGATCACTTAAACGTGTGGTGAGATCAAATGGAAGAAAAACAACAGCAGAACTCAGGGCTATGTTTAATACTGAAAGTAAGAGCATTTCCACATTCACAATGCGAAGGGAACTCAAGGCATTGGGACTGAACAGCTGTGTAGCCGTAAGAAAACCACTAATCAGTGAGGGTAACCGGAAAAAAAGGCTTCAATTTGCAGGGATCATAAAGATTGGACTGTCTAGCAATGGAAGAAGGTCATGTGGTCTGATGAGTCCAGATTTACCCTGTTCCAGAGTGATGGGCCAATCAGGGTAAGGAGAGAGGCAGGTGAAGTGATGCCCCCACCATGCCTAGTGCCTAATGTACAAGCCTGTGGGGGCGGGGTTATGATCTGGGGTTGCTGCAGTTGGTCAGGTCTAGGTTCAGCAACAGTATGTGCTCAAAGAATGAGGTCAACTGACTACCTGAATATACTGAATGACCAGGTTATTCCATCAATGGACTTTTTCTTCCCTGATGGCACAGGCATATTCCAAGATGACAATGCCAGGATTCATCTGGCTCAAATTGTGTCATTTTCACACATGGATTGACCACCACAGAGGCCAGACCTCAACCCCATTGAGAATCTTTGGGATGTGCTAGAGAGGGCTTTGCGCAGCGGTCAGACTCTACCATCATCAATGCAAGATCTTGGTGAAAATTAATGCAACACTGGATGGAAATAAATCTTTTGACATTGCAGAAGCTTATCGAAACAATGCCACAGCGAATGCGTGCCGTAATCAAAGATAAAGGTGGTCCAACAAAGTATTAGAGTGAGTGACCTTTTTTTTTGGTGGCGACTTTTTTTTTTTGGCCAGGCAGTGTATATGAAATTATTCCATCCTCGTCAATAAATGATCAGTGTTTTTAATTCAGAGTAATTTTCATGTGAATGTGTTTTACTGGAGGCATCCATGTTTGTCAAAGAACACTACTGCCACCTACTGGTTTGTGACGTCACGGTGCGGTATCGGCTGTTGATCAAGTCCCAGTGCTGTATCTGGTGTTTGTCACAACGCGTTATTATCCAAGTCATCTTGAAAACATTCTCCGTCTGGTATTTCCATTGATTTTGCTTGTAAAGCGGGGAGAATGGCGCTAGGCTTACCGCACCGTGACGTCACTGCTGGAAGATGGCAGGAGGGAGGGGTTACTATATGTGGGCAAAAATGAACCAGACTCAATGACTGTGACAAAAAATTGTCATTTTTCTTTTTTACAGATCAACTCTGAGCACCGTGAACATATTAGTTTTAGGTATAAATAATGATTTATTGACTATCCCTTGCTGACCGGACTTTTCCTTTAAAAATGAAACAGAAAATGAAGAAGCATTAAAAAGGAAGGGTGCACTTTGTTTATTCTAATATCTTGTCATTAGCGGAGATTAAATGCTTTCTATAATAAAGGTTAATTTTAATTTTGTCTTTTACTTGCACTGTTGGCACAGTGGACTTTTTAACCATTTTGCTTCTGTAAAAAATAAGGTTCATGCTTGCTTCACAATCAACAAGTATTTCCTGTAAACTTTAGTGTAATTTAATTTTAACCTGTTGTTTTATCCAAATACTGCCAAAAAAATAAGATTTTTGGAAATTTTTTGTATGGCAGATATTTTTTTAAATTCATACATATTTATTAATTTACACAGTAAATTACTGAATTTTATATTTCTTTTAAGGAAAATTCACAGTTTTTTTCAGTCACCTGATTAACTGCTATTTAATGCATTTAATAAAATAAAGGAATGCTTTTGGTCATCTTTTACTGCTTACTGCTATATTTTACTGACTTTTTTTTACAGTGTACTGTGGAGTGACGTGATGGCCTCAGATCGTTGCTTAGAAAATTACCATTAATCATGATATTCTTAAATCCATTTATTTGGAGTTAATTAATAATAAAAATATGCATTGACGTCGTTTTCATTTCATTTCAAATCCAGGAACAAAACACTGGAAAAAATCAAAATCTAGATAAGCCATTTTTACTTATAACAAGTGCATTTGTTCTTGGATTAAGGAGGTAAAAGAAACACTTTGCCAATGGAACAAGACAATTTACACTTAAAATAAGAAAACACAATTGCATTGTCTTATTTGAAGTGCATTTTATCTAATTATCATATTTTAAGAGTAAAAATACTCATTCTATTGACAAACTATCTCATTTACCTACTCAAATTAAGGGTAAATACACTTAATTTAAGACATTTTTACTTATTTGTAGATTGTTTTTCCAGTGAACCTTTTACATTTGGTGGGGGTTGGGATTAGCAAGTCTGGTTCCTTTTCTTCTAGGAAGTGCTGTGGGTCATTAAGTTTAGGAGATTCTACACAGATGTTGCAGGAAAACAAAAAGCAAACAGGAGAACAGCATCTAAAGTTTGTAGTAACGGACCAACAGACACCAACACATCAGCGTACACCTATGGAGCTGCAAAAACAGGGACAGGTCTGCAGTTTGCCGATAAGGCTCTGATAGCGACTCAGTCCCATGATCCTGATCGGATTCTGCCGACACCGGAGAAACGCTGAGTTTATGGATGGAATGGATCCTTCCTATGACATGTAGCCTGAATAAATTATTATTTATCACATACTACTCCTTTCTGAGTTTAAAAAGTGTTGATGCTCAACCGGTTACACGTCATTATTATATTATAGGTCTTATGGACACAGCTCAGCAGATTTTAGAAGGAATATATCTTATCTATGAGGGCAGAAACAATCAGATTATTGAAATAATCATCAACTAATTTAGCAATCGTTAACTGGAGTATAGAGACTGTAAAATAAGCCCTTAGCTGACAGAGCAGGAATTATACCAAGATTGTAAAAATATATACAAACATTTTGCATTTAAGATGAAAATAATTTTTGTCTGTCAAATTTCTTTATCCAGAAGTGGAAAAGTTTTTGTTTCACCTTGTTTAATCTCGTAAAAAGCCTTCCTTTTGCTATCCGATTATTAATCGACAAAATAATCGACAGATTGATCGATTTGCAAAATGATCATTAGTTGCAGCCCTATCATATTTCCATATATTATTATGAAATGTGAGAAATTAGCTCAACTATCTGTATAGCTGCTTTGACAAACGTGAATCTAGCCAAACAGCAAACAGCTACTGCTGTGTGAACATCTAGCTAAATGTGAAAACACACAACAGCTTCACTTGATAATGAAAGCAACACTTACAGACGTTGCTTTAGCAAACAAAAATAGCCAGAAATGAGGAGCTAATAGCTCCATGTGCTCAACCAGCTGGAGCAGGTGACAAAATGCCAGATCCTTTTCCTGTCTCCCAGCATGCACTGCTCCCAGGTTGCTGCAGACTAAACCAATCACTGACTGAGTAAGCAGAATGATCACTGAGGCTATAACATAAATATGTGGGTTTTTTTTCCGAGTTGGAAAAGAAGAAAGGATAATGTGCATATGAAAGGATTTCACGGTCATCGTGTTATGCATTCCTATAGCCTGTTCTTGATATGAAAACACCTAACAGAGTGTAACAGTTGCTCCCTGAGGCACCCAGTGGTCTGGAGAGAGGAAGGAGCCATCTGTGAAGGACTATAATAGCTTCCACGGAGCAGTCCATGGCAGGCAGCACATGGCTGAGGTAAAACCAGTCTCAAAGAAAGCCACACAGGGATGCATTAGGTGCGGGGTCTGTGGGAAATGCCCTCGCTTTATGTGTGGAAAAACTCTCTGCGCGTGTTAGAGAGCAGGACCTAATTTACTCTGTTTCAGTGGCTCTACTTTTCTTCTACCTCATCCAAAATACTCAGGTTATCCTGAGCTATCTCTATAGTTATGCTGCTATAGGCTTAGACTTCTGGAGGACATAGGGACCCCTTTTTCATCATTCTGCTTCATTCTATCTCTATTCTCCCACTCTGCAGAATCTGTTAGTTCAATCTCTAACGTTCTGCTCTCTCTGCTTTTTCTCATAGTAGCTTCATCTGGTCTGTTCCTGTTTGGCTGTGACTCCATCCTGGATAGAAATATCAGCTGTGCTGCTGCCAGAAAAACCTTTGTTACTAGATGTTGGAGCTTGGCCTGTTATTCAGTGTAGTCCTGTTTCTTTGACTGTCACAGGCTGGATGTGCTCTCTTCATCCTCTGACATGGGAGCTGGTTTCCTGGACGCCTGTGGAGCTGGTTGACAGTTGCCTTTTGTATCTATGCTTCTTTTTCTATGTCTGCTTCTG